TTTAAGTTTTACTTTATGTGCTTATACTTAAAGCTCAATCCATACACGTGCACAATTATCTTTGTGGATAAGTGTTTTACTTTATGTGCTTATACTTAAAGCTCAATCCATACACGTGCACAATTATCTTTGTGGATAAGTTTTTAGCTTGTAGACTTAATGACAATATTTTACATCTTTTCTAAAGTCTATTAATCCAGTGAAAAGAATCTCAAAAACTTGTTTGAAAGGATTTCATCAAAATCAAGTGTTCAACAAACTCGTATTTCTAACCATTTTGTAAAATAGTGTGTTTTTCACAAATGTGAAGTACTATTTTAGAAATTTCTTCTCTAACATACTTATTTTCATATGTATAAACATTGTCCCAAATTTTACTATTTTTAGAGTTGTTTTACTATTTTAAAACAAATTTAGAAAATTAACTTTTCATCAAAATTGAAGTATCTGTTGTATCAGTTTTTTAGTCGACCGAATGATTTGATCGGTCGACTGAACAGTCTTTTTAGTCGACCGATGAATCTTTCAGTTGACTGATCTTGGTTTTCAGTCGACCGAGTCATGGTTGTCTGTTTTCTTTACAGTAACAGCTAGTTTATCTGTTAACTGATATATTCAACCAATCGATTGATTATGTTTTTTACTGTAACGGCTAGTTTTTGAGTTGCTTTCATTTTGAGTCTATAAATAGTCCTCAAGGCCAATCTGAAATACAGTTTTTGTTTAGCCATTTTGGCTCCGCGTTTTAAAAGAAATCAAGTGTGTTTATTTATGTGGAAAGATAGTTTTACAAAGAGAATGATCTCAATTTCGTTTTTGAGGCGTTCATTCTCAAATCTCAATCTCTCTTTGTTTCGGAGAAGTTTTCTAAACTCTTCCTCTAGCTAATCTATATTTTGAGAATAGCTCATCTATATTTTGATTCTCATATATAAGCTAGATTTGTTTGAGTTTGATTTTATTTTACCCATTGTTTACACACACAACCTCTTGATCTTTAGTATTTCACATATCAAGTAAAATTGGGTTGTGAGAGTGTTTGCATTGAGAGAGCTTACAATTAGTTCTCACTTATTTAGAGAATAAAGTCTTTATTCGCACTTATTGGTTAAATACGTTGTAACACACAAGGACACTTAGAGGAGTGGTTGGGAAAGACCTGAGTCAATTCCAAGAGGAGTGGGTTGGTTGTAAATCCTAAGGAGGGGTTGTAATTCCAAACACTTGATGAAAGTGACACGGGTAGTCCAACACTTAGAGAAGTATAGCTTGTGTGATTGATATCGTGTGCATTGTAAAAGTAATCGGTGATCTTTGAAAACCGTTTGTGTAGATTTTGAGATATAGTGGAGATCTCCTCGAGGCGAGGAGCGGTGAGGTAGGTCGAGGGTTGATCGAACTCCGTAATCATATCTTGTGTTTGTGATTCTTGATTGGCGCACTATTATTCTTTACATCTTGCACTTGTTTATATCGTCTATTGTTTAATTGTCTATCCTTGCATATATCTTTATACATCATATTGCTAGGATATTGATTTACAAGTTTTATTTTGGCATCGTAATCAGATTAGATTAGCAATTACCCTATTCATCCCATTTAGGGTACTTTCAATATCAACACGTGAGAGACTTTAATTTGTATGCAGTCGCCATCCAAATCTCAAAGCTAAAACGGAAAGTAGTGAGAGGATAACTAATAGTGAAAAGGGGGGAAAAGAACTGGAGTCAAGGGACCATCAACCTAATCTCACCAAACTATCTTAGAAAAAGGAAAGAAAAAGAGTAGTAGGACGACTTGAACAGAGTTTGCGAAGAAAACCTAAAAATGCAATAAGTCATTATCACACCCAAACCACTATAGGTTAATTTTGGGACTTGATGGTTAACCCCAAGTAATAATTGGTCTTTGAAATCGGCCCACAAGTCGTGATCAGGATTCTCGTAAGGCCACACTTGTTGTTGATTCTTTCAACGTGTTTCAATACCAAATCTAATATATTGTATTTTAGTACCTCTAAAATTTTTAGTATGCACGCTAGCGATATATTTACAGAAATGAAATTACCTGTGACTAAACAGGGAGTAATCTGATCATGATTGCAATGAAGTCATAGATCCAACTGAAAAGAGACAGAAAATGATAAAGAACAGCATTGGCAATAGCTTAATGAATTTGTTCATTAACATAAAATTACATTTTACATATGTTAAAGTTGGCTCTTCTGAGGATAATCCCCTAACTATTTTAATAGGCACCAAATCCCCTTAACTCTCAAGGTTTTTCTTATAAACTCATTGAATTTCTTCTATTTTTCCAGGGGGGCTGGTTGGTTGCTTTCTTAGAAACCAAAGAAAAGACAAATTAAGGTAGGAAACAACCAAGAAGAGTTTCCACTTTCCGCCCATTTCCTTACATAGAAACTCATGAAAAATAGTTTTTTTAAGTATGTATCACATCATTCAATAACAACCTGCCACATTATCTTTTCATTTGGTTTTAAGGTGTGAACCAAACAAAGAAAAGAAAACCATTATAGGAAATATGTTTCATATAATTACTTTCTTTGGTTTTTTTGGCCACCCAAAACAACTCCTAAATTTCCTGAAGAGTTTTTCAACTTACAACATAAAGTTTAATACACACTCAATGTGTGATCAAAAGAAGAAAAATACCTCTTAACACTAAAAAAACACCCTTTCATTCTTTTTTTTTTTTCATTATTTTTGAAGAATGAGTGGTGTTTTAGCTTTTTTCATCATGTGATTGACACATAACAAGTTAGATTTGAGAGTATTAACTTAGGGAGTAAAAGCCAACAATCTTCGATGAATTTAGTGGAACAGAACAAGTTTAGGGAGCTTATTTGGGAGCCTCCTCAAAGTTAACGATAGTTTTTAGGACAAATTTTGAAAACCACCCGCTTTCAAATTTTATTTAGCAAAACCGACCGTATTAAGATAAAATTAGCAAAATCGACCATTTTCAGATGAAAATGGTCGATTTTGCAGCTGGGGCGTTGTGGCGAAGTGTACGGGACTGCTAGTCCCTTGCACTTCATTTTCTTTCTCTTCCCTCTGGCTCTTCCCTCTGGCTCGTGACCTCCAAATCCCTCTGCCTGACGAAAAACCCCAGACCCCGCCCTCCTCCGCCCGACGAAAAACCCCAGACCCCTCACCTCCTCTGCCTCCTCTCCTTCCCCACCTACCTCACCTCCCCTACCCCCCTACCCCTCACCTTCTCTGACTCCTCTACATGCTCAAAGTGCTCAACTATGACCACACCTTAGAGCTAAATAGCCATACAACAAGCAGCACGAAAATCATTCAAGAAATACATAACAACTTTGCAAAAATGCTAATGAGAAGACAACCTACAACTATGTGAGCTATTTGCCTGTCAATGGAGTTCTCTATGAGCTCGATGCTAATGAGAAGACAACCTACAACTATGTGAGCTATTTGCCTGTCAATGGAGTTCTCTATGAGCTCGATGGACAGAAACCGGGTTCAGTTAGCCATGGGGAATGTACTGGTGGACAAAAAGATGAAGCATGGCTGAAGGAGGTGGAGGAGGTGAGGAGGCGGAGGGGGTAGGAGGTAGAGGAGGTGAGGTAGGTGGGGAAGGAGAGGAGGCGGAGGAGGTGAGGGGTCTGGGGTTTTTCGTCGGGCGGAGGAGAGCGGGGTCTGGGGTTTTTCGTCAGGCAGAGGGATTTGGAGCACGAGCCAGAGGGAAGAGCCAGAGGGAAGACAAAACAAAGAAAATGAAGTGTACGGGACTAGCAGTCCCGTACACTTCGCCACAACGCCCCAACTGCAAAATCGACCATTTTCAGATGAAAATGGTCGATTTTGCTAATTTTATCTTAATACGGTCGGTTTTGCTAAATAAAATTTGAAAGCGGGTGGTTTTCAAAATTTGCCCTAGTTTTTATACCAATTAAAGTAGTTAAGGGGTTATTGTAAAAACACCCAAACAGAGGGTCTTGTTATATTTAACCTTAAATGGAAGAACAGAGTACAACTAAAATAAAGTCTCTTACCCAATCCCTCAAACAAAGGATATAGGGGGAAAAGGATTTAAAATTAAAATTGCAAGAAGTCAGTCATATCCATAAGAGACATATTTATCATTTCGTGCAGTTTCTCTTCTTGATGTTACTTTGTTTTGAGGAAAATTTTTAGGGGTTTTTAACACAAAAAAAGATTATTATAGGTGGTGTTTGGTAACGGGTTAAATGAGGGGTCAAAAAGTCCTAAACCCCTCTTAAATTACTAAACACGAAAAATTTATACAATAATTAAAGTGAGTTAACCCTCCATAATTTGCCAAACACAAAAAATACATAAGGATTAAGCTAATCCCTCTAGAGAGATTAAAATGAGTTAATCTTTCAAAATAAAGGGTTTACTAATACTCATATTTAGAAGAATTAAGAATTAGCCTATTTATTTATAAAAAATAGTCAAAATCCCCGTTATTCCCAAACACTAAAACTGATCACATGAGCTAAAATAAAAACATATGTACGGATTAATAATTTATTCATTCGGGCTATCAAATAGGTTAACTATGTTAATCATTCTCATTAATTTCTCTTCCTTATTGCCAGACGGGGCTGTAAGAACTAAATTTTTTACTAATCTGCCCCTGAGCACGCAATTTCTTGAGACAACCAGCACCAGCTGCCGCAGGAAGGACAGCAATTAAGGAGATAAACCCGGCGCTAATTAGCCTCACTTTTATATCTAAACCCCCCATTAACAAATCCGACGTGGCACTTTATAATTTCTGGTCACATTTGGGTCACTTGTGACACCGTCCCAAATTAATCAGCCCCTCTCTCTCTCTCTCTCTCTCTCTATGAGCTCTCTCGCTGTCATTCCAAAAAGCAACAAGTAATCTTTTGTTTCAAATGGTTTACTCGAAAATATTCGAAGCCCAGATCTCCGTTCAGCTTGGTAAGGACCCTCTCCCATTTTACTCTGTATTGTCTTTTCTTTTTGGATTCTCGCTTTTGAGTTGATGGGCTCCTCGCGGAGTTTGGGCTTTTCTTTTATTTTTATTTTTTTTATTTTTTGTGATTTGATATTTGATTATTAATATCCTGTTGAGATCTGGAGCAATGGGTTCGGTCTTTCTTCTGGCGATGAATTTTTCTTTATTTTAAAGATGACATTTTTGAGCTTATCTTGTTTTGTTAGGATTTTGAATGGGATTTGTTTCTTTACCCATTGCAGATTCAGTCAAAAGATCATTGAGGAGGAAGGGCTTGGGCAGTACGAAGAAAGTCAAAAGCTAAGCTTTGGTTTGTTGTCAGAGATTTTATTGTAGATTCACTAAATCAAGAACGTTGAATTGGTGGACCTTTTTATAGCGCTTGCCATTTCAACTACAATTGCGGCACATAAGTTAGGAATTGAAGTTTTGGTTCTGGACATTTGATTGAGTAGGGAAATTTTGGTTCTGGACACCAATACGGGAGCTCTTTTCCTTCAGATATGTAGATTCGTTTAAACTATTGTATATAAGATTGGAGCTTTCTGCTCTTGGATGGTTGTCTTAATTCGGTGATCTATTGATTGTTGGAAGCTTGATATGCGTGTAGAACGACTCAACTGTGCTGCTTTGTTTAGCTCAATTGTGGACTGGTAGCTTGGGCTTCTTATTCTTTAGGACGACCGACCATTATCCAAGGAATTCCTATGCTCTATGCGACAGAGAAAATGCCATCATTTAGAAGAACTATGTCCCCGTTGCAGCGAGATGGAGGAGCTGTACAAAACGGCGAAACAGCCTTTGATATTTCTCCTCCTCCTAAATTGCCTCAAAATAGGACTTACTTAGCCATTGGGAGGTTGCTTAATTCGTTGTTGAACTCTTTGGATTTTCCTGGAGCTTTGTTTTCAAGAAGCTACCGGCCTGCTGCAGAGAGGTCAAAACCCAAAGGGCTGCACATGAAACGGTCCTTCTTCCATTACTGTCTTTGCTTTATGCTAGGGATTTTCGTAAGTTTCACACCTTTCTTCTCGGTTGATGTCTCGAAGAATTTGGCATCAAGACAACATGCATTTTCTTTTGAGGATACTGCTGTGATCGATAATGCTAAGCAGAAGATTAGTTCAGTGGAAAAAGAGATTCTATTTATCGAAAAATCACTATCCATTGAGAATGGTAGCTTGGAAATGAAAACCGAGGCGCTTGATGCTTCAAATGTTACGTTATCTGCTTATGCCACTCCCACTTCTCAGCATGCGGGGTTGGTTCCCCACCAGCAACTGATTATTGTGACCCCGACATATGAGAGGCCATTTCAAGCATATTATCTAAATCGAATGGCTCATACTTTAAAAGTCGTGCCACCTCCTCTCCTTTGGATAGTTGTAGAGATGTCGTCACAATCGACTGAAACAGCAAAGATCTTGAGGGAAGCTGGGGTAATGTATAGACATCTTGTGTGCAAAGAAAATGTCACTAGTATAGGAAATAGGGAGGCTCATCAAAGAAATGTGGCACTTTCTCACATTGAGAAGCATCAGCTTGATGGTATAGTGCATTTTGCTGATGATGATAGGATGTATTCAGTTGAACTCTTTGGCCAAATGCGGCAGATCAGGTACTTACCTTTCATTTATCTTTACATTTTCTATTTAGATACTACTTTAACTTGGGTCATCAATTTATTATGGCGGTCTATGTCTTTCTTATTTATCTATTTAGTGTCTTAAATTTGAATGGAAATATGGGGAAACCACCAATTGATGCTTTCTTCTCCGTGGTTTCTTCCCTTGGGAATTTGACATTAGTTAAGAGACGCTGATGTCAGGTTCATTTATAGACCTTATGCTCACAGACAACCTTATTTTGATGGTAAAGACTTAATGATGATTGCTTTTAGAGTGAATCTTAAATCACTTCTTAGAAAGGAACTCTCATAATTAATGCTTATGGTATTTTTGAATAAAAATGCTTATAGACTAATTTCTTAAAGTAGATTTGTTTAAAGGAGTTCATATAAGAATGGATGTGCAAGAGGTTGGGTCTGGATAATATAGTCCATAGAGGAAAATAGAAACGAGGTTCTGACGACTCAGTTAAAACTTAAATTGTGAGAGGTCATGTGAGGAAAAATTGAGAGGTTTGTACGTTGAGAGAAGCTAGAAATTTTCTAGCAATAACTTTTTGATTGTGCTTTTCTGAAATATTCTTTTCTAAATCAATCACCAATCATCCAGTTTTTCTCAAAAAATACATGTGCTTTAAAAGCAGCAAAAACCTTTTTCGAGTGAAGCCTACCACACCCTAAGTTTTCTATCTTTCTCAGTCTGCCCATCAAAACTTATATTTATTTTTTCTTGAGTTCCTCATGTTCCTCTACTTTCCATTTCGGATTCTACTTTTTCTGTATAGGTTGATAATTTCTCAACTATACTCTCCTTATCAATCCTCTGTTGAGTGTAAGAACTATATGCTGCTTAGAGCAATAAAATTTCTAGTGTAATCTTCACTTCTTTCGATGATGCAAAATATGAAATGCAAAACTCATCTTATTAATGCATTTTTATTTATTTCTTCCCATTCAAATATTGCGCTATCACTTCATGGGTTTGAGTTTGACTTCGTAAAGAGGGAAGCTAACTGATTTCAGCTTTAGTTCTCCAGGAGCTATGATAAGAAGCTTCCCAATGTTGCAAAGTTATCTCATTGTAGGCTCCATTCCAAGTGACCCCACTGCCTGCTTACTTAAGAGAAACAGTTCGCAACACTGTCAAAGTCGTTTACTAATGTAAAGGTTGTGTATATGTTACGGCATGAATGTATATAAGATCTTAAAGTTGCATGCAGGTTTAAAGGCATTTGTCAGTGCTTAGAATGATAGTTTGTTGGGACATTTACATGGTTTGGCATCACATCTTAAACCAACCGAGATGCATTGCCAGTCCCTTACAGCCTTACGGGATTTGGAGAGTATTCTGTAACTAAGCTAGAATATTGTTATTGGTCAAGAGGGAAACACCCTGGCCATGGGAATATTGGAAAAGCATAAGCATGAGGCATGGAAATGGTGGCAGGAATAAAGAAAGGAAATTTCAGTCCTGTGTAATTTTCATTAGTTTACTGAACCAAAGCTCAGCGTGACATGGTCAAACTTACTTCATTTGAGATGAAAATTCTGAAGGAGACGTTGAAATTGAAACTAAGGTTTCAAACCTTAGCTTGTGAGAGGAAGATGAATAGAACCACTAAACATTAATTACCCTATTCCAGGAGTCTTAGCCAAGTTATAAGGAACTTGCTTAATTAGGGTTTGTATTTAAACAAGAAGCTGGTTTTGCTAGGTCAAAGACGTGCAGAAAATTTTGGCGAAATGCTTGTACTAAGTCTGTTGAGAGAAAACCTTGGCGAAACATCTTGGATTACCATGCTGGTATCTTTTCTCTTCTTTTTGGATTATGTTCTTTATCGACATATTTCTGATCCTATGTTCTATTCTCATTGTTTATGATATGTAGATAACACCTACTTCATGTTTGGGAAAATTATAACATCAAAACGCTTGTTTGCTTATGCTATGTAAATAACGCCTATTTCATGATTGGGACAATTATAACATCAACATATTTGGTGGAGATGGCTATGCTGTTCATGCCTTGTTAGTTGTTAGAAGTTAGAAATTTATTATGCTCATAGAGACACCCTAGAATTACACTATGATCTTGGTTTTTCTCACTAACGAACGCATTGCCTCTTGGGTTGCAATGGTATACTGTATGTTGATTTCCTGTTTCCTGTGCACATTTCTGCATTTGGCCTGAGTGTGATTGAACATTGATGGGAATTTTGGATATCCATAAGTACCTCATTTTCATGACTCATGGGAATGTCATCGTTCTGGTGTTAGGTAGGTTATGTCATATTCTCACTTGGTGAGAGTCTTATGCAAAATATTACTTTTCCCAAGCTTTGCATTACCCCTCCAAATAAAAAATAAAAAAATAAAAAAATTGCCCCACCATCATTATTTAGCTTATTATTCTGTAATGGGAGATATTATTTTGGATTCTTAATTGTAGATTCAGCGAGCGTGGATTTAGCTCCAACGTACCAAGGACAGCTGTGATATTAGAACTTTGGCTTTTGCCAGTTAAAAAATAGACAAAAAGTTTTATACTAAAACTCTTGAAATACAACAACTAAGAAGATTGAAAATCAAGCTAAGAGAAGTGTTTGCGATGACCGAAATTTATGCCAAGACGTGGGTGAGGTGAGTTTGATGTGAAATCTTCTACAAAACCATTTTTGAATCAATGTCCTGGACCCTGGTAATGATATTTGAGGGTTTGTGCTTTTCTTGTTTGTACTTAATCACATTCGGAAAAGCTTTACCTGGTGTATTTATGCAAGTTTGAATATCAACCTTCTTTTTAATTATGTTAAAGCAGTTACAATTTGTTCTCGACATAAGTAAGTATCCACCCTCGTTCCCCTAATATTGCGCTGTGCTTTTTGATTCTTACCTTTTCGTCTAACCTTACACATATATCTGCTCTTTTACTCATGTTTCTTTTACTTGTTACAGGCGTTTCGGCGCATGGCCAGTTGCAACGCTCAGCGAAAGCAAGAACAAGGTGTTACTCGAAGGTCCTGTTTGCAACGGGAGCCAAGTAATCGGATGGCACACTAATCAAAGGAGCAAGTTATCTCAAAGATTTCATCTTGATATGTCCGGCTTCGCATTCAATAGTACTGTACTTTGGGATATCAAAAGATGGCACCGCCCAACTCTAGAGCCCATTAGGCAACGTCACAGCTCCAAGGAGGGTTTCCAAGTAAGTTTCTTTTTCCTTTCAAGGCTTTGACATACTATCATTTTCTTTATCCAAAATTATGAGGTAAATTTCATGAAACTCCCTAAATTTGGCCGATTTTGAGATAACCCCCTAAACTCTAACAGTGCCACTTGACCCTGTTAAGCTTTGAGGTGTTTCAGAAAATCCTCCAAATGTTTCTAAATATTTCAACTTACTCCCTGACGGTGTTAGATGAACCGGTAAAATTGAGACCAATATACCTTTTTCAAATTAGCACTTTAAATTATTAAATTAATTAATTAATCATTAATTAAATTACTAAATTAGACCAAATTTAAGGGTTTTGGGGAAAATTACAATTAAAATTATTATTAAACAGGACATGAAAGGGTTTTTTTCCCCCATTAGTGGCATTTCGTTCATTCACGCACGCTATTTTCACATGCACACCAGACACTGTTATTATTATTACTATTATTATTATTATTATTTTTTTTTTGGGGGGGTATCTTATGGGAGTTAAGTGACATTTCTAAAGTTTAGGGGGGTTATGTCAAAAATGGCCAAACTTGAGGAGGTATTGTGAAATTTACCCAAAATTAGACACACACAAAGACGCACAAGAGTTTGCCTTGTATGTTATTTTTTCATAACTTCTGGAGTGACCTTTTTATGAGTTTGTTTATAGGCGACCACATTCATCGAGCAATTGGTTGAGGATGAAAGTCAAATGGAAGGCTTATTGAGCAATTGCTCTAAAATTTTGGTTTGGCATCTGCATTTGGAAGCTCCTGAACTTCTCAATCCTGAAGGCTGGTCAATCCAGAAGAATTTGGAGCTTGTCGTCCCTCTAACATGATCTCCTCTTCTCCTGAGCCATTTCACCTACATGTATGCTCTGCAATAACGTTAGATTGCATAACCATAATACCTTCATTATCTTCAAATTGCCAGTTTTTATTGTCTATCAAATATTTGGTTAAATGGCACCTAAATACCTAATAGTTTCACTCACTTTCCACTTAGATGCCCTCACTTGGTTTTCGCAGCATGTGTATACCCTAAGTTGTTTAAAGTTGGTAGTTTGCTACCCAATGTTGTGCAGACACATTATTTTCACCCTAGTGGTACTTAATATCAATTAGCATGTGAGTGTAAAATGCGGGTGAAAATTTTCACGTCTGCACAACCAATGGTAACAAAGTGCTAATTCTAAACAATGCTAATTTTAAACAACTTAGGGTATACAAATGCTGCGAGAAACAAGTAAGGGCGTATAAGTGCAAGAAGAGTGAAACTATATGGTAGATAATTGCTATTTAGCCCAAAATATGCAGACAATTTTTCTTCTAATATTAAAACTTAATGTGACAGGGATTGAGCCTCCTGCTTGGCTGGCTGCTTACAACTTCTTGTTCACTGTCTACTAGTTTTGCAAAGCGCCGATCTTCTTCCTCTGTTTATTTGATGAGTTTTAGCTTTTTTTTAATCATTTTTATATTTTTAGAGTTATTACCTTTTCCCTCTCGTCCTGGCAAAACATATTCATGTACAGTGTTGAGTTTTGAGCAGGTTCTTCAATTGTGCAAATTCACATATGGAGGCATGTACAATTTTCTTCTTCTTCTTCAAGTAAAATGATATCTTATTTATCGTTATTGTTTGACTCTTATTGCTGTGGTTTGGCAGTTTTCCTTTTTGTAATATTGTATTTCAACTGGTCTTAGTTTATTTGGACCAATATGTACAAATCTTCAGAGGTTAATCAGTTCATGGTTCGATGAAACTAAGTTAAACGAACTATGAGCTAGATGTATTTGGGTAAATGAGAAATAGAAAGCCCAAGAGATGGCAAATTAGATAAGGAAATTTCTCCAAATCTTAATAATCGGTTGCTATCCTTCATAATACTTATTGATGAGCTAATTACCAGAGTGGTATATTTTGTTGACTCCAAATAACAACTTGTTCTTACTTCGGCAACATTAAGTATAAAGCGGGAGGGACAAGTCCTAAAGCGAAGGACAGGAACGAGCGGAATCAATGTGTTCCAAAATTCTGGCCTTGCACAGTGATAATAAGGCCTATTTTTTGGCCAAAGCGAATTTTTTGGCGAAGCGATTTTTTTGGCGTCTAAAGGTCAAGTGACTCATAATGTGATGCTGATGTGACTTTTTACATGATAGATAGCTGGGCATGTTCAATTAAGCGGAAAAACAAGATTTGTTTTTCCTCCTTCAAATTAGGTCTCAAAAAGGGTGTTCTTCCTCTTAGGGTTAATACAGGGAAAAGAATTGTTCTTTCCCTCATGAAATAGAGAATAAAGGGAAAAGAGAGAAAAAAATTTTGAAGATTTTTCCATAACATTTAGTTAAAGATCTCGTTTAACATTCGGCACATAAGCTCAGTTACCCTATGTAAGAGATAATGACGAGTCATGTGAGGCGATTTAGCTGGAAATATTGTTTCAAGCGAAAAAAAAGTTTGTTATCACTGTATCCCACTTTGTATATATTATAATCACCGGAGTAAAAAAAATTTACCAAGTTGGTATTTATTATGATCAATAAAATATACGGATTTGGTAGATTGGTGTTGAGAAGAACACACAAGTTTCTGTTATATAATTTTTAGGGTGCAAAAATAACAACGACGTCGATATGTCCGAGTGGTTAAGGAGACAGACTCGAAATCTGTTGGGCTTTGCCTGCGCAGGTTCGAATCCTGCTGTCGACGGGTTTATTTTTCGTTTAATCATCTTTTTTTAAAGTACCTAAATCATACCCACGTACTTGGGTTAGTTTCACAGAATTCCCCTGAACTTTGGGGCCTGGTCCACTCATCCCCTAAACTTTGTTTCTCATCTCACTTAACCCCGCTGAAATTTGGAGTGTCTCATAAAACTCTCATAAAATTTAATATTTTCTCATTGGACCTCACAAAACTCTCATAAAATTTAGTATTTTTTCACCGGACTCCCTACTTATAATTTGCAAATAATCGAAGTTTTCTCCAGAGAAAACAAAACTTCAATTTTTTTGTCATTTAGAGCAAAGTATACACCTCTTCTCAATTTTGTGTTTTTTTAGAATTTATTTGCAAATCATACTCCCTTTAAAAGAGGGAGTTGTGGAAAAACTTTCTATGAACTATATTATCCCTATTCTTTTTTGATATTACAGTCTAATCCTAACTAAACTAAATTAATTATTATTATTAATTAATTATATTATATGTCACTTCAAGTTTGTTTAACTTGGTCCCTAAAACTTTTAATGTTATTGTAAAACTCTACATCATATTAATTATTACTAATGTATAAATATATATTAATAGACAAATTGCATATTAATAAATTATTTATTGAAAGAGTAGAAAACATAGAATTGTTCCAAAATTATACCATGACACTCATATAGGAAAATTACAAAAACTTCTATGGACTATATTACCCCTAATCTTTTTTGATATTATATTCTAATCCTAACTAAACTAAATTAATTATTATTGTTAATTAATTATATTATATGCCACTTCAAGTTGGTCTAACTTGGTCCTAAAACTTCCAATTTATTGTAAAACTCGACATCATATTAATTATTACTAATGTATAATAATATATTAATAGGCAAATTGCATGTTGATAAATTATTTAAGCATAGAATTATTCTAAAATTGTACTATGACACTCATATAGGAAAAGTACAAAGAGTATTCTTGCTTTTAGTTAACAGGACAAAGGTACAAACATGTAATTTTAGAAGACATTAGGATATTTAAGTGCAGCAATATACAAGTGGAGGTGTATAACTTTTATACTATAAATTAATTACAAGTTTGTTCAACTTGGTCCCTAAACCCTTCAATACTATTGTAAAACTCTACATCATATTAATTATCACTAATATATAATAATATAAATAGACAATTGCATGTTAACAAATTATTTATGAAAAGAGTAGAAAACATATAATTATCCTAGAATTGTACCATGACACTCATATTGAAAAATTACAAAGAGTATTCTTGCGTCTAGGCAACAGGATAGAAGGTACAAACATGCAATTTTAGAAAATATTAGGATATTTAAGTGCAACAAGATACAAGTGGAGGTATATAACTTTCATAAATTATAAGGTACTTAAGTTCAATTAAGTCTATAAAGATTTAAAACCTTTGTTAACCACAAATAATTGTATGTGATCCTATTGATAAATAATATTCATCATATAATATGAGGCCAGAGGCTTAGCTTATATTTATATAGTAGAAGAGGTGTAAAAAAAATTAAAGCATCATATCTAAATAATCCCGAGATTTTGAATTATTTCCTGAAATTATATACGTTGCCTAGAAAATTTTAGAAGAGGCTTTCGAAGGACTACTACAAAGTGTTGGATATCAGATAAATATTAGACAACTAAAATCTATGATATCAGATTACAGAAATCGGGGATATGTAAAAAATATCAGGTGTCATATGAGATAATATTCATACATAATATAACATTGTAAGCTATAGTCTAACATATTAATAAATTTTAAATATAAGAATTTGCATGAAAATATATGCTTAAAATGTGGGAGAGTGGAGAGATTTGGGAGACGGATTGTGACTTTTGTGGCTTTTGTGGGTTTCGCTTTTGGTTCCCAAACATAACCCAAACCCTAGCCCATAATCAAATTAAAAATGACTCGATTTTATAGATATCTACAAAGGGATGTATCGGCCAATATTTTTTATAACGATCAATATATCAATAAAAAATCCTCAAATAAAAGAAAGCAATACAAAACCATAAATATTATCGAGTAAGGTCTTTAACCTGATATATCGGCCAATGTAGCGATATATCGGTCGATATTTAATACATTACCTATAAGAGTAATATTTAAAGATAGTTTAGATTAAGTTCCTTGATTTCAGATCTCCAATTATTCTATATTATTGCCTCAAAATTTTGAAATTTCTTATAATTTAAAGGACTAATATTGAATTATTAAAAATTTAAGGGGTAAAAATGTGAACAAGCCAAATTTTAAAAAAGCGTTTTTTTAAACTCTCTCAGCTATGGGGATTGTCACAAAAACCCACTCAATTGATTTTATTTGGCAAAACATCCTATCTGTGAGGGTGTTGTAGATAATCTCTCTTTAACTTTAGTGCGATTTTAGAAAACACCCATCGACTATAGCGTGTCTCGTAAAAACTCCCCTGATCTTTTACATTTCTCTCAGCAAAATCCCTTAATGTAGTTACTTGAATATATGATTTGGAGAAAATACCCTCTTGAAGAAAACTATTTTAGTTAAAAACTCTTAACCGATAATAAAAAGATCGTGTTCAATTTATAATTTTTTTTCCCTTCTATATCTCCTCTTTTTCTTTAATCTAGCAAAAGCCAAGCTAATTCTTTTATGGTTGAGGGATATTTTGGTCTTTCCAAATCAAATATTTGTCATATAATAGATTAGACTCAATGATATTAGTTCTAAGCGGTTAAGTGAGAAACGTTTATAGGATTAAATCAAAAAATTAAAGTTGAGAAAGATTATCAGTTGAGAAAGATTATCTACAACACCCCAAATTTGATAAAGATTTACTCGATTTCAAGTGAGCAATTTCAGTGGCCAAAGGACCGGGTTCGAGGTTTGTCACTAAGGTCCATTTAGTTTCCTACTAACTGAAAGCCACCCTAGAGTGGGGGTGAATAGGATTAATGCTAATCTAATCCGATTTAGTACCAATTAAAACTTATTAATAAATATCCTAGCAAGTATGATATTCAACAACTTCTATGTGCAAGGATATGTAATTAACACAAGGGTAAAATAGACATGAAACAACATAAACAAGATAGTGGGCAAATAACCAATGCAAACACAAGAAAATGATCATGGAGTTCAGTCCTTTCGACCTACGTCTCCGCTCCCCACTCCCGGGGAGAATCCACTATCATAACGGGTTTTCAATGTTCATCCAAAACGTTTACACCCCACAATCTCGTTTTTCTAGCTCACCAAAAACTTCCACAACTCACACTCTTGTAATCATACTCTACAACCTCAAGTGTTGGTCTCTCACATGTTGCCTCTCTCAAGTGCTCGGCTTTACTATCTCTTCCTAGGCTTTACTACTAATGTCACTCCTCTTGGTATCGACCACGTTTCTCACCACACACTCCTCTCGGTGTACTAGTGTATTACAAGGTGATCTCATAAATAAGCACAAGAAAAAATGTTTGTTCTCTATAATATATGAGAACTCAATGTAAGCCTAACACTCATTGTTACTATTATGGTCAGTCACCATACTAAGTTAGAGATGTCGAAAGAATGTATGCATAGATCCAAGAGAGCTATGGTCCGAACCAACTTAGACTCAGAGGCCCAGCCAAGGTCAAGTCTCTCGGCCAGTCGAATAGACAAGCCATCTTTAACCAACTTAGACTCAGAGGCCCAGCCAAGGTCAAGTCTCTCGGCCAGTCGAATAGACAAGCCATCTTTCGATCAAGGGTCATCATGACCGACTCGAAACGCGGGATCAGTCGCCCCTCGTAATTAAGACGACTCCTCGAGCAGACGACTTGACCATACACTCAACCCGAAGCTCACTCGACTATCGGATCAGTAAATCATAATGAGGGCTTGCGGATCA